AGCCCGTCTGGTTTCATTAACTGAGCAAAAGAGTCAAACAGCAAGAGCGGCCAACCCTCCGAGTTCACGTTAGAGACTCTGGAGCTCTGACTCTGCCTACATTAATGCTGATCAACGAGAACATCGGTTTCGCTGCAGCCAGCGGATCTTCTGCAGTCGATGAGGTTTACTGAACAACTCTGGATCCTCTGAGATCACAGCAAGCTTTGAGCGTTTACCGCTGTATGCACGAACTGTTTGGAGCCAGAGAGACATGTTTATTTTTGTTTTTCTGGCATTTTCTAATGACGATCATCGGTTTGATGGCGGTTTAAATGCTACAGAAAGCATGAAACTGAGATACTAGGAAGAGAGTTTTATTTTATTGAAGAGCAAAAACGGACTGATGAGCGTGGCAGCACAGAAATGCTCGTTCTGTCCGTAACATCATGTTAGCAGTTAACTTCACTCCACTACTTGACTCAATCGTGAGTTCAAGTTCAAGAACTCCTCATGGCGCCATAAAACCTGCATCATATGCTGCGATGCTTCATCAGGTGTGCCTTTTCAGGTCTAGGCCTTCAGCTATTAATGACTTTTTGAATTAAACCTTCAGCCCATCATCAGTCTAGAATTTATTTCATAAATCACATCCAATAACAGGCAATTTTCGTGTGACAAAAGCCATAAAACTTGACTAATTTGATTTCTTTTGCTGACTAACTGTTACTCCAGTCACTGTATCCGTAGGTATTACGGTTCTGGAAATTCCAAATGCCAATACCAAAGTGCCTCCCATCAGGACTCCGAAGTGCTGATCAAAGATCTCATGAGCGTCTTTGCTGGAGTTGGAGCCTTGCTGAGTTGAACAGTATTTGATGCACGTGAAGTAGCTGAAGGTTCAAACGTATTAAACTTTCTCCAAGGACTCTGCTGGGAACTAGGTTTGTTGATGGTACCAGAAAGTCTGAGACCTTTGAGGTTTCAAGGGTTGTAACAAAGGCCTGTTTTACTTGGATGGTTAATGCATTTGATGAGCTTCCTGAGGATCCTCAAGAAAAAATATGACTAGTACTTGATGGCTTTCCAGTTTATTAGTGTTTTAGCGTTTACCTTTGTGCCTTTTCTAACTGCAGGGACTGTTTTTCCACTACTTATTTTATCCTTTTTATTTCCAACTTGCTCCTTTCACTAATAGTCCACAAAATGTAAAAAACAAAACAAAAAACAGGGCTATGTCTAGAAACAACAGACCTGCTGGCTCTGTCTGGAATTATTTTTTTCTTTTCACGTAAGTCACCCCAGTTTCTACTGGTAACTTTCGGCTGTGGGTTATTTTTCACGAGGTAGTATTTTACAACACCAGTAGTAAACATAAAAGTGAGCAGAAGTTTAAACCCTGAAAGGACTAGTACAGTTATCGATGTAGGGTGGAGCCAAACCCACAATGGAAATAGAAAGGTAAATACTGACACCAGTTCACACCTACCCTGTGTTGGAACAGTGCTTAGTGCTTTGTAGGGAAGTCTTTCAGGTTTTTCTCTCATTACAAACTTCTGCTTGAAGGTTCAGATCTTGGTTCTCTCAGTTATTTCCAAGCACCTCTATTTGATGTTCAATTGAGATCACACTTTTCATTGTACAGCATCAGTAATTGAGTATTTAGGAGCCAAAAAACAAACTGCATTAAAGGTTATTAAAGCATTTAATGGGCTTTCAGATCAACAGTTTTTCTCAGCCATAGTTTTATTCGTTTAAAAAAAATTACACGCTATATATGGCACGCTAACATAATATCTCATGCTATTGTCTTTTGGTTGGAAAGCGTTGCAATAATATTAAGATATGTTAGCTGAATGTTAAAACCTAGCACCAGAGCTTCAGTGAACACCTCTGTATCAGTGCTGGTTGTTATTGTCAGTTAGGGATGATGTGCTAGCAGTAAATTATTAGCATGTTAGTCGTGTGTTTACCCGTTAGTATATTAACATCCCCAGAAAAAAAGGTACATGTCAGAGTGCTAGCACACAATACTTAATAAAATACACATTCATATCTTAACCTTAGCAAGCAAAATGGTTTAAAGGGTGAGGTTTTTTTTGCCAACCAACTGTTGGTTCAAAACTACATTAACAGTGTTTGCTAACAGTTAGAAAATGTCTGGCGCGAGGTCGCACCAGATTCTGCTCTATTAGTCCGTGAGCTATTGTGGCAGGTAGGCTAACTGCTAACATGTTGGCTGGCTCCAGTAATTAGCTGTGTAGGCTTAGCCAGCTTGTTCTGGTTGTGTTCATAATATATTAGAGTGAGCATGCTTATCATGTTCTTGATATATTTACTGCTTTTATATAACTAATTTATCATGTGTATTTGTTAGCTAGCTAGCTTAGCTGCTAACTAGAAGTTAAAGCAGTTTAACCACAGAACATCAGTACTTTTCCTTTCTACATCTCTTTGTTAGTCAGTTAATCTATCCTTTTAGCTGTGTTATCTAACTGGCAATATGCCAGCTAGCCACAGTAGCTCACAAATATTAGCAGACTGGCTGTTTGGGTGTTTATTGTTTTAAGTTAGTCAGTGATGTGATGTAAACATTGAGCTAAATTCTGCGACCAGTTAAAATAGTTATCTAAATCACATAAATCTGAAGTGTCCTTTTCCATGCATCTTTGTGAAGCTGTTAGTCATTTAGCAGACAACAAAATGCTAACATGCTGGCATCCGCCATTTTGCAGGATTCTTAAAATGTCTATTTCAGTAACAGGCACATTTAAAGCTTGAACAGTTTAATTTTCACAAGTAAATACTTAAGAACAGTCACAAAAATCTAATCACTGTATACAGTCTTTGAGTCAGTTGATGGATTTTTTTTTTTCTTTGGAAGATTTGAAAAAGTTTGTATTGCCAAAAAACAATGTCAGTGTTGTTACAGCTCTGTATTTTGCACCAGCACTTTGACCGCTATTTTTTACCAGGCATTTATAGAGATTTACATATTGTACAGTTTAGATTTTTTTCTTCTTCTCTTTCCTACATGTAAAGAAAAAAAGTAGTATGTCTTTTTGCAGTCAAATGGAAGTCAAGCAGTTTGCTTTCACAGCGTGATGTAAATACACTCAAATGTTTTCTTTGTTTTGTTTTTGACTTGTTGAAATAAAAATCTATAACTGAGTTTGACTGCTGTTAATAATTTCGTCTGAGATTACATTTTACTTACATTTGGATTTGATCAAGATGTAATATCGTACAGAGAACAAAAATACTTTAAAAAACAGTTTGTATGTAATGTTAAACTCCCTAATAAACTTAAAGATAAAGTATAAATTCCTAATCTTAAATATTGGGTAACAGGAATATTATATATAATTTAGTGAGGAATTTGAACGAAAATTCTTAAGTCCACAATAAAAATAACAAAAAAGACACTAAGAACAAGGAGAACGAGCAGAAAATTGTTACTAAATGATAAAGAACGAGTGGTGTAATGCTGATCTGTGACCATGAGGGGGCAGCAGAAACCAGCCACTGGAATACAACCTATGAATGTGATCACCACCACAGGCTTTCCCAAAGACATTACATCACTAGCTGATGTCACTGGGAGCTAATGCTAACATTAGATTAGCCCAGCAGATGACCATATACTAAACAGTCTTATTCTGAACTGAGAGATCCTTGGCTGCTTTCAGGACGTTTAAATATTTAAGTCATAAGAATATTCCAGGAAATATAGTTCACAAATAGGAGCTGTATTTAGCTGTAAAGTTGTACTTGGAGGCACCTTGGCTATGGGTTAAAAAAAATAGTTCCTGCAGTGTTTTTTTTTTTTTTTTTTTTTTTTTTAATTATTAACTGGTCTCTGGATATCACATCTGTAGCAATGTTATATACAAATATAGGGTATATCTTTTGTTTATTTTTTGCAAATAAATCTTGTTTCTTCATAGTGTTTTCATTTGCCTTTTCTTTGTTGCTTAAAAGAAAAACCTAAAACTTCCTCCAACATCTTTTTCTAATCACTTCCTTGATGATAAATTAGATTAAGGAAAGATGTGAAGGAGAATTCAAAAGGGCTTCACCCTATGTGTTCTTAACATGTTGTTTTATAAATGCTGGTATACGCATGGAGAACTCTGATAAATAATCTCTACATCCTTCAGTTTATTTTAATGAAACAAATTCTCTTTATTTGTGAAGCCACATTACAGAAAGTACTTCATACAGGAAAAAAACTTTATAACAAGCAGATTTGAATAAAGTTTTGGGTTTAAGAAACTGTTACTGAAGCTTTAGTAATTTACATGATGATCAGCTT